TAAACAAAACATTACAATTAAAACCTCTATGCTATATAACGGATTGTTCAAATTTATTACATTTTGTTATAAAAAGTTTAAGTATATAAACAATTCTATTCCTCGTTCTTGCGTTTAACACTGTAGATATTTAATAAAAATTCTTAACGTGTCATTTTAGCATTAGTAGGAAGTCATTTATTGATCTATGGAAACGAACGAGATAATAAACCTTACATTGTGAAAGGAGTTCGTGGTTATTCTGGTCGTCCAGCGCCTAATATTGTTCCGCGTGATCAAAAAAGAAGTGAGGCAGCATTTGAAATTTTCAAACCTGGTAATAAAACGTTACAGGTAAGAAAAGAAAGTAAAAATACCATTATATCTTGTTATTTATATTTTCTGCTTTTGTTTTTTCGTTCTTTCATTTATACATACATACATACATACATGCATACGTGTATACGTTACAGTTTATTGCAAGAACGCCAAAAGATATGGAACAATGGGTCGCCAAAATTTGTCAAGTTGGCTCCTGCGACATAAATAATTTCGATCTTGGAATAAATTCAGAAAAAGACCTAGCTTTCATATCGTCCTCTGAAATGTTTGAGAAAACGGAAGAGATTATTACAAAAGACCGTCCGTTAGATTCGACGAAATTACAAACGACCTTCTCAAACGTTAACGAGAACAAGACTGTTGAACCTGATAATGAAAGTAAAGTTCAAACAATAAATGAGAATACGAGTCCTCCTCCATTACCAGCTCGTATACCACGAAGTCTTCCACCGTTACCTTCGAATGATATAATTTCCTCTTATGAAACGATGGACAACGAAGAAGATGATATTTATCATAGAATAGAAGATCTCGGTGATGGTAAATTTTATCAGAACTTTATATCGAAGAATCAAAAGGAAATAATAACAATTGAAAAATCTAAAAAAGCTGCTGCTACTGCTTACGATGACGTCCAAGCAATTTTACAAAAAGAACGTCAAACAAATATGAAATCTAAATCAAAAGATAAAGATTTATCTAATACGATACCAAACAAAATGATAACTTTCGATAAAACTTACGACGATATAAATACCTCATCTGTTATAAGGGACAAAAATAATTGTGAATCTCTTCAAAAAGATGTTATCGATGCTAATGAATCACAGTCATCAACAACACCAAAAACAACGGATTTGATATCCTATGACAATGTTGAGGTAAGATTTTTATCTGAAATTCATTGGATTATATTATATTTATTTATATTTGTATATCCACAATTATTTATATTGGTATTTGCTGACCTAATATAATTAATAAAATATCATATTTTTCTGTACTATATAGACTCTAGCAAATGCAGCATCTGATAATAAATTGAAGGATAATAAAAATAATGAGATACAAAAGAAAACACCGACTAAAAAGTCTTTTTTGGATAGAATGAGGAATAAAAAAGAATCGCCTCAGAAAAGAGAGAAAATAATAACCGCCAAACGAGAAACGTTGACGCCACCTCCGCAAATTATTCAGGCAGAGGAAGTGACTACGTACGACGATGTGTCTGATTTAATTATCAAAGAAATGTCCGTGTCCAATGAAATGTCAGAATATATTTGCCCGCCTGCACCAAGACCTGTATACGTTAAACCACCAACAGTTATCATGCCCGTTAAGGAAGAATTTTATGATGATGTCAACGGATGTCACGAGAAGAGAAATGTAAGTATAAATGAGCCACTTATTCGCCGAATTATTAAAGAAATTTATTTTAAGAATATGAAGTTAAATATTAAAACAAGTATTTTGATAATAAAATTTGTTAAAATTCTAAAAGTGGAATTAATTTCTTTGGCTTGTGAGCGGCTCATTTATGTATGACAATAAATTTATCTCATGATATATTATAAAAATGTATATATTCATTCTATCAACAGCAACAAATACAATCCAATACCCAAAAGCTTGAGAACAGAATATCCGATGATTGTGAACATTATAAATTACCAAGGAACGATACATGGCAACAAATTTCGCCATCTCAAATGGAGGAACAAATTTATGACGATGTAGCTATATTAGCAAATTTCACAGCACGCCAAAAAGAAATATCAGACGAGAATAAAGATCAAGATAGTTCGAAAGCATCTACTAGTCCAGATAAAAGGTCATGGAATAGATTTAGTAGAAAACATAGATCGAGTGATTCTATCGGTTCTGGAACAAATAAAAGAATATCCAACGAAATTACGGATCTTGATTGTTTCGAAGAGCAACAGAATTTGTCTAAAATGAATACGTTTCAAAAATTAATTAACAAAATGGAAAACTCACTTGGTAAAGTATCTCCAAAAGCAGTACCAACTACATCCGTGAATAAATCTTGTGGATTAAATTCATCTTCTTGAGATGTTAAATGATTTTAACATACTGTAATATGTTGATATTATATAAGAAATTTTATTTTTTTTCTGTTCATACATCTCTAAAAAATAATCTTGATATACCATGTAGATATTATATTTATAACAGTAAAAATACTTATAATTCGACATAATATGAACAAAACAAAAAAATAAATTACAATATTATTGAATATCCCATTATATTATAAAACAAATCATCGCAACAGTTTAAAAGTAATAATATATAAAAAATATATTAAAATTTTAATGTACCCATCTAAGATAAACGATCATGAATCATGAATTCAAATAAATCTTCGTGAAAATATAATTCATAGGAAAATATATCTTGCTTGTGAGATGTATCTGATGTGCACAGGTTAATGATATTACAAACAAAGACTACAATGTATCATTAATAGATGATATTAGATAATATTTGTTAAATTGTAACTACTGTAAATATCATTAATAGTTTTGTAAGCATGATTCATCCATTTCATTAGAATCTGACTTTTATTTTGTAATAATTCCGTGCCATACCTTTGATAAGTTTTCAGAAATATACCTGTATGCTTTTCTATATAATCCACTATTTTATATGATAATTCTTTATTATATAGAGGAAGAATTATTGTCAAAGTGCCCAAGATAATGCCGAATATGACAATCCATAGAAATAGCGAAGTAAGTATCCTACATAGTGCTAAATATAAATGATAAAACATTCAAGTGAATATACTAACGCAATCGAATAGTAAGATATTAATAATTATTATTGTAGAATATTGAAAATACTTACCCGCAGAAGTGCAATTTTTTTTATTTTTTTCGTTTATTGTTTCTTTTAAATTATCTGTCTTATCCTCTAGATTTTGAGATACTTCACATTCCATTTCAGATTTGTTTTTATTCAAATTCTTTTCAACTTCCTTTTCTGCGTTCTTCTTCTTTTTTTTCTTTTTGGATTCTTTTTTTGAAGTACCATTATCCTTACTGGCATCTGCATTTTCTATAAGACGGTAAAGTAGTGAAATAGTAACTTTAAAAAATAAAACATCAATTAAATATTAAGGAAAAAGAAAAAAGCTTATTACTTGACTTGGCATTAAGTCTTCGCAACCTTTCCTCTTCTACAGAACGTTTAACATTACTTAAATATTCCACAACATTACGAGCACAATTTTTACATTCTTCAGCATTACTACATGGACCAGCAATGCTTGCAACGGCTTGAGTTAATGGATTTTCCTTTAAATCCAACCACCTTAGATTCTTCAATTCACTGAGGCTCAATGGTAAACGGCTTATCTGTACAAATGATCTATAATAACTTGCAGTTATTTTCTAACTACTAAAAGAAATTTAGTAATACCTGATTAGCATATAGATCTAAATATTTTAATTGCGTCATTTCGCCAAAATTTTCAGGAATTTCTGTCAACATATTTTTACTTAGGTCTAACTTCAATATTTGCTTAAGTATGATAAAATTATTCTAGAAAAGAAACATTTTTTATTAATATTATGATCAAATTTATATCACAGAAATATCATTTAATAGTTTACGACTTACAGGCAATGTAACTAAGCCATTATTAGACAAGTCTAAATAAGTCACTTTTCTAATATTTGCCTGAAAATTAAATTAAATAATAATATTCTCAATTAGTTATATTATAATTAAACATTGTAATTATACATTTACACAGATACAAAAAAAATATTAATTGTTAAATGCAAATTAGTTGGAATATTGAACTTACAATTTCTTCCACAGGCACTTCTTCCAGGTCACACAAACTTAAATCTAAAGTGTCATCTTTCAATCTATTTCCTAAATTTTTCAGCTTCATTGTGAAGATATTTATATTTAACTTTTTGTGCTAATTGTTAGAAATTAATTAATATTCTTTTCAAAATTTGTTCATTTGCTTTAGGGCAACTCTATATCTAAAAAATTGAAACAATAATTCATTTCTTTGAATATATTTAATTAACTTTTTACATTTGTAATATCTACTATTTTACTATATTACTATTAGAATTACCGGTTAGTTATAATCCATTTTTCAAACCATCTGCATGCAACTGAACATCATCAACGTGTCAAAGTATAACATCAAAAATATATTAGGAATACCAACGTTGTAAAACATAATCGAAAACTTTTTGAACAAAAAATTTAATTTTTATATTCTATTCGTACGTAATTTATTTTCAAAATGATTGATCCAAACAAAAAAGTACATTTTATTTATAAACAATATTATTCAATGTTATTTAATAATTATAATTATAAATATTAATATTCAAATGCAACTTTTCAAATACAAAATGCATATCATTAAACAAAATTTTTAGCTTAAAATTAATCATGATTTATGATTTATCGTAATTAATCCTAATTAATCAATTAAATATATTATTAAGCATGGTTTTCATATAATGCAAGAATATTGATCGAATGAACGACACATAAAGATGACGATGCAACTATTATGCATTTTATTGGATAAAATATTTAATTCTATCAAAATAATTATGATTATTGTTTATCGTAATTAATCGAAATTAATTAACTGAATATATTATTAAACATGGTTCCCATGTATTACAAGAATGGTCATATGAACGACACATAAACATGACGATGCGGCTGTCAGAAATCTGAATAAGCGCATGCCTGTGCAAGCTGTGCAAGCTTTTATCGCGAATCGTGAGATCAAGAGCGAGGTGTGGTTTTTGCGGTTACATTTGCAGCCCACTGTCGAGGAGCATTTCGTCAGTGTGAGCCGTTTAAAATACTTCAATTAAGATGAACGGACGTCTTCCTGCATGTGTTATCGACGTGGGTACAGGGTAAGTAAATACATTATCTACATTTCCAAGATAATTATGCATTACGATCATAGATTAGAACTTTGGATATGAAGACAAATAATTTTATCTTTTAAAATTTAAATTTTTTTTAAATGTACTTTTGTTTTTTTTCATGATAAAAAATTATCTTTATTTTCTGTTACTTTTTTCTTTTTTTTTTTTTTTAATAAGAATTCAAAATCTAAGTTATTTCATCGTTGTACATTATTTTGTTAATCAGAATTAAATAAAAAAGTGTCGTTGAATGTTTGTTTTTTAAGGTACACTAAACTAGGCTTCGCTGGAAATAAAGAACCCCAATTAACTATACCATCTGCAATAGCCATTAAAGAAACAGCCAAAGTCGGTGATAATAATGCTAGAAGAATTACAAAAGGTGTTGAAGACTTAGATACATACATTGGAGATGAAGCATTTGAAGCAACTGGTTATTCCATTAAGGTTTGTATAATATTAAATATAGAAGATTAAAATTATTATCTACTATCAATAATTCTATTTTTTCTCTTTTGCTTTGATATTTAGTATCCAGTGAGACATGGATTGGTTGAAGATTGGGATTTAATGGAAAAATTTCTTCAACAATGCATATTCAAATATTTAAGAGCAGAACCCGAAGATCATTATTTCTTACTTACCGAACCACCTCTTAATACACCTGAAAATAGAGAATATACAGCAGAAATTATGTTTGAATCATTTAATGTACCAGGTTTATATATCGCTGTGCAAGCAGTATTGGCTTTGGCAGCTTCTTGGACATCTAAAAATGTTGAGGATAGAACATTGACAGGCGTCGTCGTTGACAGTGGAGATGGAGTTACACACGTGATACCAGTGGTAATTATATTCCTTACTTAAGTTTTTTTTTTTTCATTTTTACTTTATATGAATATTTATAATAAATATAATATATTATGTTTTTTTAGGCGGAAGGCTTTGTTATAGGTAGTTGTATAAAGCATATACCTATTGCTGGTCGCGATATAACATATTTTATACAAAGTCTTTTACGAGAACGTGAAATTGGAATACCTCCTGAACAATCATTAGAAACAGCTAAAGCTATTAAAGAAAAATATTGTTACATTTGTCCTGACATTTCTAAAGAATTTGCTAAATACGATAGCGATCCTACTAAAATAAAAAAATACGAAGGTATGAACAGTATTACAAAACAGCCTTTCATCGTAGATGTCGGATATGAAAGATTTTTAGGTCCAGAAATATTTTTCCATCCTGAGGTATAACTTATATATAAAAAAAAAATTGTTTAAATACGGGATTATAGAAAATTCGATTACCTGTTAATTAATTTTCTATGATCATTTTTAGTTTTCCAATCCTGACTTTACAACACCACTTAGCGAAATTGTTGATGATGTCATACAAAATTGTCCAATAGATGTCAGAAGACCATTATATAGTAACATTGTTTTGTCAGGAGGTTCTACCATGTTTAAAGATTTTGGAAGAAGATTGCAACGTGATATTAAAAGAATTGTTGACGCTCGTTTAAAACTTAGCGAAACATTAAGTGGTAGCCATATTACGGTAAGTTCGTTCAAAAATAAATTATTTTTTTAATATATAAATATAAATATAAATATAAATATAAATATAAATATATATAATGTTATCTTCAGCCGAAACCTATAGACGTGCATGTAATATCACATCATAAACAACGTTGTGCAGTATGGTACGGAGGTGCACTTTTAGCTAGTGACCCAGAATTTTATACAGTATGTCATACCAAAAAAGATTACCAGGAGAATGGGCCTGGTATTTGTCGTTATAATCCAGTATTCCATAGTATGGTATAAAAAATAAGAAGTTCACAAAATTAGGTCTTGTGGAACAATGATGAACATCAGTTGTCATATTTACATTTGACGATGTTATTTGAGCCATCTTATTTCTTTCCTCTCCCCACTATCTGCCTTCAAAGTTCTTGATTGAAGAAAAGAAGTGGGTTCTTTAATGGTGCAATTAATAACTATAAATGCCCAGTGCATTTAGGGAACGCACATAAATGCATACACCCTTCGTGCCCGATATTGAAGCACATTAAAATAAGCAAATAAAACCTGCATTTAATAATAAAATTCTAGGAAATGATTAAATTTATAATACGACTAGAGAAATTAACAATAAGATTATATTACTGAACAATTGTATACAACTGTAAATAAGTGCGTTGGAAAATAATAATTTTTTTCTAATGAACACAGGCGTTCGGATGAATTAAAAGTTTTGATTAACAGAGTGATATATCCTCCATTAAATGTTTATATTACATCATTACCTATTTATCACTTTAGACAATTTACAACATATTCAATATCTCTTGCATTATGGTTCTATTATGCAGAAGTTTTCAAAAATTTTCATTAAATTTTTGAAAGTGCATAGATAAGAATATACATTTGACTTAAATTATATTTAAAATAAAGAATTTTTTCCTATAGAGTAAATAAACAATGTGAAAGAATTGGAATAGAGATCTACTTTCTACAAGTTCAATCGTAATACCGTTGCCATTGAATCGGACAAGATATAAAATTGATACAGATTTAAATCAATTGCACTCTGTTATAGCTTACAATCATAACTGTCACTGATGTAACAACCAGTCGGTTAAAAATACTATAATATACAGTTACATGTATATATAAATAAAATTATTTGATTATGCTTTATAATTTTTTTTTTTTCAAATTTCATTATGATTTTATCAATTAACTGTAAAATAAATGTTCAATACCTTTCCAATTGCTAACTAAAATATTTCATTGTAAATTTTAAAAAAGAGATATTTTTTACACGGCATAACGAGTTATCAATAACAACAGTAATGGGAAACTCTGCCGACATGTATTTGTACAAATGTCTCTTGAGCTATCTTATGCTCGATCGTCATTTTGATCGCTGTAAACATTTTTAGATGTTCCATTAGTAATTATATAGTCAGTTATTTCTTTCTATTTTTTCTTCTTATCAGTATTCATTTTGTCAGACAATACTTACAATAAATTGAATCCATTAGCAGCAAGACCTTCAGCGACTTCTGCCACTTCTTCAAAAGCTACATCTATGTTTCCAAACAACGAAGAAAAGAAAAGGGAGAATAGACCCCAATTACTTAGATTTCCTCTTTGACTTGCTGTAGGTCGTCCATAGGTATCTACACTGTTAGCAGGTGGTAGCGGATCATATAATAACACTGGTGCTGCATCTTGAATCTTATGTATATATATATAAAAAAAAAACAAATATATATTATATATCAAGTGTTTACATGGTATTAGATAAAATGTTTTTATCTTTTGTTCAGACATTCTTTCTTATTTCATAATAAAAATATACCTCCTGAACGTTGACGGTAATCTCTTTTATATCAGCAAGTATGATGTGTCTTAAAATATTCGTTGGCAAATTTCCCTTATATCGTTCTCCACGCTTTACTTCACAATACTTAACATAACTATCTTTAGAATCAACCCGATCAAGCACTAAATGTACACATTTTTCCAACCATGGCAAAACATCAGCTTCTGTCCACAAATGATAACTACGCACTATGTACAAATTTTGTAATTTTTCTAATGCTAAAGTAGTCATGTTTTTAGCTTTACTATTGAAAAAATAATGAGCAGTCACCTAAAAGATTTATATTTATAAATACTTTTCCACGTGTATATATTTGTTAATTGTCTTTTCTCTTATACAGATGTCTTGTTATTTACCTTAGAGTCGGTTTGTACACTGCATTTTTCTAATAAGGGTATGAGAACCCCTGGAAACATGATCAGTGCATTTTGTAATAATTCATTTGCGGTCTCATGATTGCCTAAACAAAAATGTGAAAGAGCCAAACTATAAGCTATATTTGGAAGTTGAGTCAAATTCCTTGTGCTATCCCAAAGATTGCAGAAATCGACAAACCATTTATACTCTCTAGCTCTTAATGCGTAAAAGTCAATAAATAGAACAACAGCTAATGGATCTTGTAGGGGATCAAGTGATAGCAGTAATTTACAAAATTCTAAACTTGTCCTGAAATAATAAAAATAATCACTTATATTCTTTATATTTAATATAATATATATAATAATTATAGAAAGATTTATATTATTACCTATAACAAGCACGTCCACCAACAAAAGTAAGATGTTTAAATATTGTTATAAATAATGCACGATTTATTTGTTTCCTATAATCCAATCTGCAACGTGCTGTTTCCACATTAAATAATGGATGAAACGCACACTCCAAACTATATAATGCTCTTTCTGTAAAATCTACGGCCATTGGTAAATCCTCACTTAGTTTACATAATTCTGCTAATTGCAGTAATGTATCCACGTGATAAGTATGAGTATTTATTACATTCTAAAATAAATAGGAATAAATACATATATATATTAATTTAACAAAAATATAATACAAACTTATATAACTTACTATGAGACTTTCAGGATTAGAACTTTCAACAGCTTCTAAGAATTTATATTCTATCTGTTTATATGAAGAATCATGTTCATAAACAAAATATAGAACATTATCAGATTTCATTGTAGAATCTACAGACATCGATAATCCAGATTTTCCAATCAGTGGCCAATTCTCTCTTGGTGACACCAACCAATTCCTTTTCAAGTAACCTGTACGTCCTCTATTTCTTCGTTTGCTAATATTTCATTTAATCATTGATTTAATTTATCACAAATATAATAATATACATATATATATAGTTACTTTGTTAAGATACCTTTGTTCCGCTTGTATAGTTTTCCTTCCAAAAATTCTCATAAGTTCATTAAATGGATTTAAATGCTTATATCGAACACTCAAAATACTTTCTTTAGATTTTCCTACAATCCATTGGGGTTTTTCAGAATTTTCCTTACTAGAACTTGGTGATGGCTCTCCTAGTAATTGATTTACTTCTTTTACTAAGCTTTCTATTTCATCTATTTCTTCTTCGCTTTCAGGTTTACGTGTTTGTTGTTGCATTTTACCAATTTCTGGTTTCCTACGCTTTTTCTTTTTCTTTTTACCTTTAACAACATCTGAATTCGTTTCATCATTTTTCTCATCTATGGTTTCACTTTCGCTTGATGAATTATCATTTAACTATAAGAAAAATATTTCTATAAATTTAAATGTATGCTTATAAGTTTAAGATATAATATACTAAGTATGCAAAAATTAAAAAGTATTTAAATAATAAAATTCACTATAATACCACATCGAAAACGTTGAATGACTTTGATTTGAAATTGTCATTTACTGAATTTTCCACATCACTAACGTTTTCTTTATTTCCATCAACAATTTCATCTCCACCAAAAACTTTTTTCATATAACGTGTAGACATATTGAGTAAAGTCAAAACGTCGATAAATATATTTTTATATGCAAATATATATACATATATAGTGTATATATGTAGGGAGAGGAGTTAATAAATACCGTATCGCTGATATATGATCTATTAAAAAGTCCTGCAAACGTATTATCAATTCAAATTTTTTTTATTATTATCGTCTTAATCATTATTAAAAATAAAAAACACTTCGTATATGACGAATGTATAATTTCAATAACCTTTTTAAAAAAATTTGTGTATAAATATAAATAATGTAAATTAATAATAAAAGATCAGCTCTAAGAGAACCCGATTAAATAACTGATTAAACAATTTCTTAATATTACCATACGTTCTATACAAAACGTCGCAGATATCCCATATAATACACATATATGTAGATATTACGTTACCAACTGTACTTTCATCGCTTAATTAAAATTCTATTCGCTAGAAACTTTTTTCTTGCGATAGGAATGTTTTTTGTATTAGGGTTAGTAAGATACGACTGTTGAAATGACGTCATTATAGTGAACATCGTTTCATAGGGAATTAATGGACCTGTTTTTGTCAAATTTAGTTCAGGAGACAGCATTGTATCAAGATCATTTGGCGCGAACATTTTGATGTTGAACATAATAAAGATGACAATGTTATATTGATGATTTTAATGATCTAAAAGTCGCATTCATTGCTCATTCCTAAATAATCCAGAGTTTTTAATCTTTTGGAAAATTGAAAGTTGCGGACTATTTGCAAAAAGGAACATTACATTGTATTTATGCAGTTCGATTATTTTTTTATATGGGTTCACACATTCACTCACTCAAAAATACATCCGTAACATACGACATATTACATAGCATACGCTATCATATATTATTTTTAAAAGAATTAACATTTCAAATTCTCCTTAATTTATTCTCAATCGGATTTTTTAATTCGGTGTTGAATAATTTTTAATTTTATAAATGATTAATTCTAAAGAGAACTATTTAAATCAGTTTTATTTCTAATTTTCTATAAACATTATTTAAAATTTTGCGCTAAACGGTCTTATAAAATGCTGCCACCAAGCGGCAGAGTTTGGCGGTCAGATCCCTATTAAGTAAAATTTTGTAAACGTGTTTTGTTTTGCCTTGTTTGTGAAAAAAAGTGTGGAAACCAGCCAATGAAAATTGCAGGGGGCTCTCGCTTCATGTGGATGTTAACAAGGTACAGACGAATAGTACCTAAGCATGTGTACACAGTACACGAGCATTTAAATGATATCCATTACGCAATGTTTGAAATGCCATTAAATGATATATCTTATCGCAAATACAACACATTAATCAAATAAAAAAGCATTACTGGCGTATTCATGTTTATACAAATAATGTTATAAATAAATAATGCGTTGTATTAAATACTCATTCAAGCATAAATTACGTCAATGAAACATTGGCGAACGTTGTTAAACTGTTCGTTGATAGCGGCGCATGTTCTTAGAATGTGGATTCTACTATATGATATTATATTTCTATGAAGAACGTTTCAACGTTTCGAAGTTACCAGCCTAAAGTGGAATGCAAACGTGGCTAGCTTCTCTTTACGTATGTGTTCGAATTTTTATGACCTATTAAATGTCAAAAAGAATTTCATTTTAATCCCACTTATCTATTAGAAAATATTAAAGTAATTCATTTTTATGTATGTCAATGAACTGTCAAATGTTATTATATCAAAGTAGATAATATTTTAAACTTTTTTAAGTGATATTTACTTCTATTTCATAATACCATTGTATCTTATTTAACAAACAATTTTTCAATTTTTTATTTAATTATAACTTATTTATAGTTGTCTTTTATTAAATTCGTGCGATAAACCAAAATGTTGCTAAATTTGTCTAATGAAATTTATATAACTTACGTAAAACGCGAATTAAATTTTTAATATTATATATTGTTCTTTTGTTTAGGTAAATATGAGAAGACAAGGTAAAATCAATGATTTACGAAGATTGCACTTTTATTAATAACAATAATGAATAAATTGCAGCAAAGTAAGTATCACAATATATAATTAATAATATTTTGATATATCATAAATGTATAATTAATGTTTTATTCATTTCTAACTTTATTTTTAGTTAATGGACAAACATTAAAATATGTCAGTTTGATTACATTGACTCTTCAAAATGCATTGGTTGGACTTAGTATGCGTTATGCTCGAACAAGATCTGGGGATCTCTTCTTGTCATCTACGGGTAAATAATATAAACATAAAAAAATCGACATTTTAATGACATAAAAATGTATTTTTTTGTCGAATTATATATATTGATAATATCCCTTTTTCATAGCTGTTGTTATGTCAGAGTTATTAAAACTCTTGACATGCTTAGTTTTGGTCTATATTGAGGAAGGCAATCTATTGAAATTTTATATTGCCTTGAAACAAACCATTGTAAAAGAACCTTTTGATACATTGAAAGTATGCGTGCCATCAATTTTATACATCATACAAAATAATTTACTTTACGTGTCAGCATCAAATTTAGATGCAGCGACATATCAGGTAGAAAAATATTTTATTATCAATTTATTTTTTTATCATATATTTTTCTTTGACGAAAATGTATTTACAGTTTATTGGCTTTTTAGGTGACTTATCAACTCAAGATTCTTACAACAGCTTTTTTTGCTGTTGTAATTCTTCGAAGATCATTGAGAAGTTCTCAATGGAGTGCATTGATACTTTTAGTTATAGGAGTAGTATTAGTACAATTAGCACAAAGCGGAACAGTTATGTTGCCGTCAGGTATAGAACAGAATCATTTAGTTGGTTTCACAGCTGCCTTAAGCGCATGTTTCTTGTCAGGTTTTGCAGGTATATATTTTGAAAAAATTCTTAAGGGATCGGATATCTCTGTTTGGATGAGAAATGTTCAGTTAAGTTTATTATCCATACCCTTTGGGTTAGCCACTTGCTTTATAAATGACGGCGATATTATTAAAAGGCAAGGTTTCTTTTTTGGCTACGATTCGTTCATTTATTACTTAGTAATACTTCAAGCGCTCGGTGGACTTATTGTTGCTTTGGTTGTAAAGTATGCGGATAATATACTAAAGGGATTTGCCACCTCTTTGGCCATCATTATTTCATGCATAGCTTCTATTTATTTATTTGATTTTCATTTAACGTTTCAATTTACTTTTGGTGCATTTTTAGTAATTTGTTCAATATTTTTATACAGCTATCAACCTAAAGCATCTATTGATAAACATTCTTCTTTAGATAAATCCGATGTATAATAATATAATTGACAATCTTTTCTTTTTATTTTTTTTTCCTTAAAAGAACCAAATTCGTATTTACGTTAATACTTGAAATGATTATTACCGTAAACACGAACCGTGTTAACAATATATTCAAATTATTCATTTAAAATAGAAATAATTAAATCAAATAAACGAAAGAGTTATTTATAATTTTGGCAAAGAGTAATGGACTAATGGATATTTGAATAAAATCAATTAATCAATTTTTTATAACTGTTGTATTTTTATATAAAAAGTATTATAATATATAAGCGCATAAAAAAAGTAAAATCCAACTTAAAAGTATTTCTTTATACGAGATAGTCTATTATTAAACATCTTATGCAAATTTCATGCATATAAGTATAGCGTAATAAACAGACTTGATTATTAGATTATAAAGATAATAGATCCCTATGAATTATGGTCATGGCCTAGAATTGATTTTCGTTCTGAAGATAAACTATTTTTCTGTGTTAAGAACTGAACAAATTGTATTTAGAAAAGAAAAAAAATCTTTGTAACGCAGAATGTGCAAATTTATTCTTAAAAATTTATTTAAGAAGAAATACAATTGAATCTTGAAATTAGATCTTTCATTAACGATACTTTTTGTACGTAATCTCATTTTGTGATAAATATAAAACAACAATTTTATATTTATGAAGATTATTTTGTAATCGATTAGTAAAAAATTGATAGTAACTGATTGCAAACTAGCAAAGAAAAAAAAAGAAAATTTGGAAAATATTAACTGTATTTTTATTCCATTTTTATTGTGTTAATGATAACAAAATTAATGGAAATAATAAAAATTTATATCGAATTTACTTCTAGATATTAATTTGTTAAGAAAACTTTTATTATAATTTAAATTTCTTCGTTTAAATTATAAATAAATATTACGATTTAAATGAGAGTATATATATACAAATTTGAACATCAGTGATACCATAACAAAAAACTCAAATTTCAATGTCAGTCTCTTTCTTTCTTTAACCTTTCTTATATACCCGTTCGGTGCATTTTAGTATCATATAAACAATGTAACATATAAACAATAATTATAATAATCGTACGTGATAAATACCCGCAAATGAAATTAGATATTAATAAAGGTAAAAAGGATATGTCTTGTTGATGTACACAATCGAAAAAATTAGAAAAATAATACACCAGTTTAATGTTTAAAAATATTCATTGTAATAACATCAAATTAGAAATCGTTCGATAATCATTACCAAAGAATTTTTAAATCGCAATGAAGTATCTAAAAAGCGATGATTAAATTAAACGCATAATTCTCTACCAATATTTATTATAATCGACGAACTATCATTTTCTCGCATCTTATTTATTTTATTTTGTCATGAAATAAAAATAAAAAGGTGCCAGAGTTTCGAGTTAACCATTGTCGGTTTTGTATGTATGTGAGCGTGCGCGTGCGCATGAAGGTTATATATTTGTCGTATTGGTAACAGTGGAACCTAACCTGTCAGAAGCGTAACAGCAGGATCGTGAGTGAACGCGATTTTTCAGGAAGCACAAAAGAACTTATCCAATTTCGTGATTTCGCACGCTTCTTCTTTACGTTTTCGTATATAATAAACGCGATACAAAGAGACAAATTTAAGAGGTGAAAAAATACAGAAAGAAATAAAGGAAAAGATAAGAAGAGGAAGAAAAAGAAAGAAGAAAGGAAAGAAGAAAAAAAAAGAAAAACAAAAATATTCAAGTGGAGGCGAGGCAGGTGTCCTCCACGTCGCTATAGTACCCTGACGACAACTTCCTATCCTGGCCACTACATTTTCACGATAAAACTTCCTCGTCGTTTCTGACTGTTATGCGGTGTGAACATTGACTGGTGAGAATTAGAGAGAGATAGAAAATAAAAGAAATAAATTACGTAAAGAAAAAGAGACGGTTATAGAGAGAGGGGATAGAATATATAGAGAGGGAGAGAGAGAGAGAGACAGACAGAAAGAGTGTGTGTGTGTGTGTGTGTGAGAGAGAGAGAGAGAGAGAGGGAGAGAAAGAAAGAGGTACAGCCAAAGAGAATTATAGAAAGAGAAACAAGGATAAGAGAGGTGAAGGGGATTTGCAAAGAGTGAGAGAGTGAGAGGATGAGAGAAACGGAGTGAATGAGTGTGAGAATTGGAGAGAGAGAAAAAAAATTTTCTTTTTTCCAACAATCCCTTGATATTATCCTTTAATGTAGACTATTCTCGAGTAGTTCCCTCGATGCCTTTTATTTTGTAAGTAGAACGATAACTCATAAAGCGTGTTATTATTCGTCTTGAAATTACCATATAAATAGTGAGCAATAACATTTTCAATCAATTGTTAAATATATACATATATATCCTTAACGTATGATTTCAATCTTGATTTAACGGAATTTACGATGACCTTCGAATATCGATAGCGACCTTCTATTCCTAATAAGGATTATAGGCATATTTTGGAGCATGTTTCAATCGAGAATGAAATCTTCAATAATACACTTCTAATCCATTACTTTTTATATTCAGTAAAGAGAGAGAGAGAGAGAGAGAGAGTGTGTGTGTGTGTATATATATATGTGTGGTCAACGTTGTGTATTGTTTTCACAAATTAATATTTTCCAAATAATTTGTATTTTAGTCTATCTTTCTCTTTTTCTTTCTGTGTAATTGTAAATTATTGTATATATAACAAACTAAACAAATAAGTTCTTGTTCTTATTTTGATAATTCATCATTACAATAAAGTGTTCTTGTGTACGTCAAGCGTTTAAATGCAGTTTGCATTAGTCTGTGACTATTAAGATTATTTTAAGTATCCTTTGTTGCATGTCGATAATTACATTGGATTTTATTAAATTTGTTTTTTAATTTTGTTTTTTTATAGAAATTGTAAGTAGTAAGTAGTAACACTGACGCTCACTAGGCAAGCGTATAAGAATAGGATGTCGGGGCATAGAGGCGTTGGAGGGGCAGGGAGTCATCAAGGAGTCCCCCCAGGCCTCAAACAAATAGACTTGGATCAAATTTGGGGAGATCTTCGTGAGGGTATAGAGCAAGTATATAATAGACAATGTATGTCCAAGCCAAGATACATAGAACTTTATACGTATCCTTTTATAAAATGATTATATTATCTAGAGACAGTAGTATTCTTAATTCATAGCATTGTATCTGTAATATCCTTACTACATCGCTGAACATAGACATGTATATAATTATTGTACAAGTGTTCATCAGCAACATACTAGAATGTCTACTAAACTTAAAAAGGGTCAAGTATCACAAGGTGGTGCGCAGTTAGTGGGTCTGGAACTATACAAACGTTTGCGTGACTTTCTTAGGTCTTATCTCATTAGCCTATTAAGGGTACGTATTTCGTTGGACGAAAATTTACAATATTATGAGGTGTGTGCTATTTTTTTTTTTTTTAAATATTCATTTATGTATACAACAGACTATTTGTATATAGGTTTACTTATTTTATTATAAAAAATGTTGTGTCATGTTGGTGGTATATAGCATGGGGTTGACTTAATGGATGAAGATGTATTACAATTCTATACAAGACAATGGGAAGAATATCAATTCAGTAGTAAGGTGTTAAACGGAGTATGTGCATATTTGAACCGTCATTGGGTGCGTCGTGAATGTGAAGAAGGACGTAAAGGAATCTATGAAATTTACCAATTGGCCTTGGTTACGTGGCGTGATAATTTATTTAAACAGTTAAATAGACAAGTATGTTATTATATTTTAAATAAGCATATATATATTTTTTTTATAAATAAATATAATTATGATCATATTTTTTCTTTTTGAAAGGTTACCAATGCTGTGTTGAAATTAATAGAACGAGAACGCAATGGAGAAACTATAAACACTCGTTTAGTCAGTGGTGTAATTAACTGTTATGTAGAATTGGGCTTGAACGAGGAAGATCCTGGTGCTAAGAGACCAAATATTGTTGTTTATAAAGATTCTTTTGAAAATCTCTTTGTTGAGGATACAGAACGATTTTATACTCGTGAAAGTTCAGAATTCCTCAGACAAAATCCTGTTACAGAATATATGAAAAAGGTATTTAATATTGCTAATTATATTTTTATGTAAAAGGGATGACTCTCTCTCTCTCTCTCTCACTTCTGTGTAAAAAGGTATTTTAATTTATATATATCTTTAATTTATAATTATATATATATATATATAATTTATATTTATATATATTAATTTATTATAATTTTTATATAAATATTATTTATATTATAGGCAGAACAAAGATTATTAGAAGAACAAAAGCGTGTTCAAGTTTATTTGTATCAATCAACAAACGATCGATTAGCAAAAACTTGTGAAAGAGTACTCATTGAAAAACACTTGGATATATTTCATTCTGAATTTCAAAATCTTTTGGATGCAGATAAAAATACAGATTTAGGACGAATGTATCAATTAATGGCAAGAATACCTAATGGACTTGGTGAACTGCGAAATCTTTTAGAAAGTCATATAGCTAATCAAGGGCTTGCTGCTATAGATAAGTGCGGAGACTCTGCAGCTAACGTAAGAACTTTTTTTAGTTCATCAAATAGAAAAATTGTGTTAAATAATTTTATAAAACAATATCTTATGTTTCATGATTTTCTTTTACAGGACCCTAAAGTATATGTCAATACTATTTTAGAAGTTCATAAAAAATATAATGCTTTAGTATTAGTCGCATTTAACAATGATAGTGGTTTTGTAGCGGCGCTAGATAAAGCATGTGGACGCTTTATTAATAGCAATTCTGTAACTAGAGCTGCAAATAGTAGTAGCAAGTCACCTGAATTACTAGCAAAATACTGTGATTTATTGCTTAAAAAAAGCAGTAAAAATCCAGAAGAAGCAGAACTTGAAGATACGTTAAATCAGGTTGTAAGTACTCGAATATAATTTTATATATTATATATTGTATGTATAAATTAATATATATATATTATTATTATGTTTATATTTTTAATATTTACAAAAACATTTTTTTTAATAGATGGTAGTATTTAAATATATTGAGGACAAGGATGTATTCCAGAAATTCTATAGTAAAATGTTGGCAAAACGTTTAGTACAACATATGTCTGCTAGTGATGACGCAGAGGCTTCTATGATCTCCAAGTTAAAACAAGCTTGTGGTTTTGAATATACTTCAAAATTACAGCGCATGTTCCAAGTAGTGAATTTTATAACATACTTCATTAATATAATTCCGATCCAAACATTGTTTTATATTTTCATTATCTGCAGGATATCGGAGTGTCCAAAGATTTAAATGAACAGTTCAGACGACACCTAACTAATTCTGTAGAAGAACTAGATATTGATTTCAGTATACAGGTTTTATCCTCTGGTTCATGGCCATTCCAACAGTCTTTTTCTTTTTCTTTACCAACAGAGGTATGATTAACACATAAAATTTTAATTGTAATATGTTTTGTCAAAAGTTAATTTTCATCTAATAACAATAATAATAACAAATAATGTATGTTATATTTGTAGCTAGAGAGATCTGTACATAGGTTTACAACTTTCTATAGTTCACAACATAGTGGAAGAAAGTTGAATTGGTTATATAATATGTCTAAAGGAGAATTGCTTACAAATTGTTTTAAAAATAGGTAATTATCAAATGTAATTATTTAAAATACTAATGTTGATTTTACTTTTTATTATTAATAATCTTGCGAATATGAAAAAAGTTAATATGTTATATTATCATAATTTATTTGATTTGAATTTTAATATTTCGAAGGTATACATTACAAGCATCGACTTTTCAAATGGCAGTTTTACTGCAATACAATGGTTCAACCATATGGACAATACAGCAATTACACGATGCTACTCAAATAAAAATGGATTTTTTACTTCAGGTAATATAATAAAGTTTAAAAAAATAATATATAACATATAAATGTTGTTATTTTAAATTTGTAATAGGTTGTACAAATACTTTTAAAAGCTAAGCTATTAACAGCAATTAATGATGACGAAAGTGATTTAACACCTATGTCAGGGGTAGAACTTTTTTCTGGCTATAAAAAGTATGTAGTCTCTTTTTTATACTTTTATATATATATTTAAATATATATATATATATACCCTTTTAGATTGTTTGTTTTTTATAATATTGGTAACGTATATGTTTTTTTGTTATTTTAGTAAAAAATTAAGGGTAAATATTAACATACCAATGAAAACGGAATTAAAGGTCGAACAAGAAACAACACACAAGCACATAGAAGAAGATAGAAAACTTTTAATACAAGCAGCAATTGTTAGAATTATGAAAATGAGAAAAGTACTAAAACATCAACAATTAGTGGCAGAAGTTTTAAATCAATTGAGTTCCAGGTTCAAACCAAGAGTACACATTATAAAAGTGAGTATTTAATTTTCTTATAAAACATTATAGAATGCGTTTTTTTTTTTTTTTATTTATATGTGATAGATAAAAGAACATTACATATCTTGTTGGTTTGAAGATGAAAGAGATAAATTAACTTTTAAATATATTTACAATGTATTTGTTCATACTCTCTATTATTTATTATTAATAATTATCTGCAATGCTTTATTGAACTAACAAAAAATTGTTAAATATTAGAAAACAAAAAAATTACAATTGTTGCTGTAAATTAACGATGATATTTCTAATTTTTGCTAGAGTTCTGCAGAAAGTAAATACGTATAAATGATGAATAACTGAAACAAAGAAATATTACTAATGTTCTTTCAGAAATGTATAGATATTTTAATTGAAAAAGAATATCTGGAGCGTACAGAGGGTCAAAAGGACACATATAGCTATCTGGCATGATCTGTCGATCTAGGACATCAATACAGCAGCAACTATGCACGCAAAAAAAAGATGACTTCACACTGTCATTGCTACATACGTGTTTTGATATTTATTTAAGACTCTCACTAGTATTTTCTCTGTACACAGTACTTGTACCGTAATGTCCCTCTGGTCGCATTTAGAACCTGATTTTTATAATATGTTAATAAAATTATTTCATATAGTCAAAGTTGCTACGTGTGTTACTGTCTGTGCCGTTTCTCATATAATTATCAAGTTCAATTTCGTTTGTATCATCTTGTACTATATTAAAACAAAATTTTGAACATATATGACACATTTTTTAAAATTGTATATAAAAGATCGTTGCATAATGAAAAAATATGATAAACGTTTATAATTAAATAAGTTAAAAAAACAAACTATTACAAGAAGGAAAAGAGAAAGAAATAAGGATGTAAAAATTACTAAGTTAAACGCGAATGAGATAAATGTATATTAAAAAATAAATAGCATTCTCTTAAAATGTTAAACGTATATTAAGAAGTTTAACATTTTATTTTCTGCTAATTTTAGGAAGTGAAATTATTTTATTAATACCGAACAATATATAATAATATTTAATTATTTGCTAAAAAAAAACGACCATATAAATCATTATTTAATTGTGAAATTATTATAATGAAGAAAAGCAAAGACATGGATGGTAATGCAGTTAAGCAATTAATTAAGTTTAAAGTTGCATGCGTCAATAATTATCAGGTTTTATATTTATCTACGTACAAGAATACTTCTTTTTCGTAATATAAATTCTTTTTTTCTTTTCCCTACTAGTAAAATATTATTGAAAGTAAACATTTTTCTTAAGACAGTGTATAAGGGATGTGTATAAAAATATTTATAATATACCACGAATGTAGCAACGATTCGCAATATCTATATAATTAACATTTATAATATTATATTAACGATTGTTTTAATTGTACATGATACCATTTTGTGAAGTGGTTTAAAAAAAAAAAATTGGAAATACGAATTCAATATGTTATGTTTTAACTTTATTGAGATTAGTTAGAAACGAAATTTATAGAGGGTAAAACAGTTCATATTTGTTAATAATAAATTTAATGTTGAAATTATTTTCATATATTGCATATGTTTTCAATTTTTTATGTTTACAAGCGCAATATATAAAATTAGAGAGAAAGAGATCTGTGACGTAATCAAATTCAAAACATAACAGAGGCACAAGCAATGATATATGAATTTTTAAATTATGGCTATACAAGCCACTAAGCAATGGTAGTAATTAAATGCCTTTAACATTAAGAGCGATATAGAAAATGAATATAAATGTAATTTTGATGCTTACAATTGTAATAATCATTTGGAGAAGTTCGATTCTGTAATTTGAACTATAAAAATGAATAAGAGATTAGATTATTTTAATTATCTATTGATATTGTCACATAAATTAGATAATTAAATTATAGTTTTTTATGTGACACATTGTCAATATGAAAAAAAAGGCTGAAGAGTGAGAGACATGAACTGAGAATTGTAATTAAAACTATATTAAAAAAAAAAAAGAATAAGAAAACTGTCTGCAAAAGAGAGCAACAGTATCTCAATATTTAGCTACAAAAAAAACTTTAACTTAATGTATTTTATTAATTAAAAAGAAGTGTACTGATAATTTGAGCTAAGAAATTTTGGATACACAGAATTTGAGTTAGATTATGCTAATATACGAATAGATATATAAAATACGAGCAGAAAGAATACACCGATATAAACTTTATATCTGTCTTTTTGTGATATACTCATTGTTATTAGGTTGTTTTAATCATTTCTACATATGTAAAAAAAATAATTCTAACGATTTTTAAAAAATACAAATATCAGTTCAATCGTTTCTATAAATTTAAAGATTTATATTAATTACATAATTTAAAATATAGTACATAGGAATAGTTATATATTACAAAAGTCAAGTTTTTTCTTTTTTGTTTGAATTCACTATTTACACTTGTACCGTATATATATATACACATTAACAAAATACCCTAATACTTTAATTTAAAGGATTGACATGAAGTTTAAAAGTGTTATGTTGAATTTGTGCATTTTTTTTCTATGTGTCATAGGTAGTAATAATTCTTCACACACACATATACACACACACATTTTAATAATTAATTTTTTCGGGGATTTTTTTTGTATAGTTATAAATTGCTACTATTAGTTTGTATTTTTTCTGCAAAATGAAACTTATGTAAATAAATTTAAATAAGTCAGTAAATATATAATTAAACTCAATAGCATGTGAAGTTATATTATAATTAATATTGAAAGGTAATTTATATAACTATTATATATATATTTATTTCAGATAATCATATATCCGTAATATTTGATTAGTAATATTTTTAAATTATTTATTTTCTAATTACAGATATTTCATAAATCCATTTTATACCCAACTTCAAATAATATACATATTCAATACAATAAAATATTAAGATCATATTATTCTATATATGGGCAATTAATACAGTCAATTAAATGCATAGTTTATGGTATGTGATCTGTCGTTCATTTGTAGTTTCTAATGTCAATTGTATCATATATGAATCATATCTTCATTACTCATATTAAAAATATATTACTAAACGAATGCTTTCAATTAAGTAGCAAATGAGAATAACTAAAAGTATATAACAAATAAATGAAATTAAAACTAGGTACAAGTAAATAGCATTAATAACTTTCTATCGCTATTGGAAAAAAATCTATTTTTATCTTTTTCTTTTTGGCACAATTATTATACTTAACAAATGAAATTTCCTATTTAAAAAAAGTCGGAGAAAGACAGTGAATTTTGTCATAATAATTAATTTGTCAATCTTTAATAATACTTGTAAAACACATGACGATGAAGTACTTTAGTTAATAAAAAACAGGATTATTATAGATTTTTTTCAATTGATTTTTGTATAGAAAATATATACATTTATTTATCGGGACTTCCTGATTGCGAAATACTTCTCGATCTTGATCTTGATCGGGATTGAGATCGAGAGGCAGAACGTGAATGCGTCGGTGATCGAGAAACCGAGCGTGATCGTGATTTTGATCGTGATGCTGCGCGTGACGATCCACGAGAACCTTCTGAGCCAGATACAATTCTTTGGCTTCCTTGATTTTCTTTCTCACTTTCGCTTTGAGATCCAGATTTGGATTTTGAGCGAGATCGAGATCTAGATCGCGATACTGAACGTGATCGTGATCGTGATTTTGAACGTGATTTAGATCGTGATTTAGAATGAGATTTAGATCGTGATTTAGATCGGGATTTAGATCGGGATTTAGATCTAGAGGGAGATCGTGATTTAGATCTTGAAGGTGATCGTGATTTAGATCTAGATTGCGATCGTGAAGGTGAACGTGATCGTGATCGTGATCCTGATTGTGATCGTGATCGAGATGGTGAATGAGATCGAGATCGTGAATGGGAACGTGAACGCGAACGCGAACGTGAACTACTTCTTGCACGACTTCCTGACTTCGATCTAGAACGTGATCTGGAACGTGATCTGGAACGTGAAGCACGTGAATTTTCTGAATCGGATACGATCTTTCTACTTTTTGATGGTCGTTTGTCATTATCACTTTCAGCACTGTGAAAATATTAAGAGTTTTAAATATATATATATATAAAATTAAAATAAATTCATAATAAATTAGTAAAAAAGAAAATTGTATTATAAAAAGAAGAAGAATATATTTACCCGCTAGCAATTTTAAGACCTCCACTATCGCTGTCAGATTCACTAGTTGATATTGTTTCTTTTGACAAAGGCATCTTTCCTTTTGGAGTATCAGTTGTAGATTTGCGGAATTGCTTATCCTTTTTCGTACCCATTTTTCTATTACGTTTTGGTTTTCTACGATCACTATCTGAACCTACAAATATATGTGTATATTATTTAACATGATAAAAATATATTTATTTCCTATATAGGTAGTTTTGTTTTACTTACCACTGTCTCCACTTGCCATATCTCTTTTTCGTTTTCCTTTACCCTTTCCTTTCTTTTCCTTAGTCTCACCGCTAGCTTTTCTTTTACGTTTCTTTTCTCTTGGAACTTCTTCTCTACCTTCATCATTACCAGATCCTCCACTGTCACTAATATATTGATCTGTTCTTGTCTTTTTACCTTTTCTTCCAGGCTTCTCCGAAGGCATCTCACCAAATACCAATGCATTTTTCGTTTTTTCAACGTATTCTTGTCTTTTTTGTAACATTTCTTCTTCTTTTTGACGGCGTATTTCTTCCAATTTTCGTTGTTCTTCCGTTTGACGCATTTTGAAAGCTTGTCTAAAAGAAAAAATATGTTTAAACATTGGTCTTTTATTTCGCAATATTTTTATAATCATTTAAACTTTACCTTTCTTCTTCTTGTTTCCTTCTAAGTGTCTTTTCTTCCTCATCCAATCTTCTTGCTCTAGCAACATGGTATTGCGCTTGAGATAATAAATCTTGACACTTTCGCGCTTCTGTTTCTGCCATTTGTTCCATTCTGTCGCCATGAGCAGATAAATATTGGAAGTATTTGTGAGAAAGACCCAATTCATGTACTGCTTGTAATACAGTAGTAAGCGTTGACTTTTCATCTTTCAAAATTTGTGTTGCTAAACGTTGTAACACTAATGCAATATTGTATAACAAAACAGTATCTTGTGGAGCTACTCTGCGAGCCTATAATACAAATATTTTTTTTTTTAAATTCTTATTAGTATATTTAATATATTTAAAGATAGATATTATATACCTTTAAAAGTGTTAATTTTGATTCCTTCAACTTTCCAGCTTTAAGATATGCCCTAGCAAGATACTGTAGAACTTCTACGTTATTATATTTATAAAATTTACGTAAACAATTTTCATACTGTAATAAAATGAAAAACAAATTATAATATTATTAACAATTTCTACATATTTTTATAGAATATATGTTATAAATATATGAATTATATTCACCATTTGAATAGCACTAACGTATTGCTTTTGCTCTACATAAATGTGAGCAATGTTTAACCATACATCACAAAATTCTGCTGTTGCTTCTCTCACTTGAGCAAAAATATCTCTAGCTTCATTCACGCAACCTTTATGTGCTAGCACTGCACCGATTCCATTTGCTGCCCAAATATTTTTCGGATCATTTCTTAACACCTACAAAAAGTAAAAAATAAAAAAGAGCATTTAAAAATGCATAGAAGAATAATCAAATATAATAAATATATTATGAATAAATAATTTTAATTACCTGTTTGTACATAGCTAATGCTCTATCCTGATGTCTTTTTTCTCTTTCTTTGTCTTTTCCACTCTGATGAAGCGTTTGTAGCCAAATATTTCCTAAAGCTATCAAAGAATAGGCATCTGTACTTGTAGTAGGATTTTTAAGAATTCTTTCAAATTTCTTCTGCCCTGGACCCCATTCCATTTTTGCCAAATGCAAATTACCCAAAAGTGACCATGCATCAGGATGTTCATTATTAATTCTCAAAGCATCCTTAAACCAATCGGATGCTTCGTATATCTGTCCCTTATCTCTCGCCATACATCCAAGTCTTAAATAACAATCTACATAATTTGGATGCTCTTTTAAAATATCTTTGTACAATTTTTCTGCACGATCAAAGATGCAGAGAGCTTCATTAAGACGCGCCAAATTGTAAGTAGTTGTAACCGCTATTGAATTGTAATAGACAGAATCGTGCAAAGCATCATCTTTCGAACGTTCTAAAGATTCTTCTAAATTCTTTTTAGCTTCTTCCAAATTACCTAATCTAAATAAGATATAATATATACACTTTTATAAATTTATCTTATCTCTCATTAATATTAAATACAAAATAATTTTAAATATAAATTAACACATACCTGTAATGTAAAGCACCTACATTATTTAATATCTCAGGAGGAATATCAGCCTGAACTTTTTCTTTCAAAATCCTTGTTGCTGTTCCATACGCATTTAAAGCTGCATTAAGATCACTTTGCTCTAAAATTTGAGCTAATTCAATCCAAGCTTCTACGTCATCTGGAAATTGTTCCGTTACTTTTCTAAGATGATTTTTAGCGATATCACGTTTCGATTGAGAGCTTGAGTTAGCATAGAGCGACCCAAGAATCTTCATTGTTTCATAATTTCCTGGTTGAGCTTTCAATACTTTTTCGAAACATTGTGCAGCCTTTAAAAAACGAAGAAAAATTATTTTAATTCTTCTTTGATAAAATTTAGATTTATATTATAAAATAAAACTAATAATAACAATAACAATAATAATTTTCTTACATTTTCTGCATCACCCCGATAAACGTACATTTGACCTAAACCAAAATGAGGTAACACAAAAACAGATGGAGCAAATTGTGTTGCTTGATAATAATATTGAAAGGCTTGATCATAATCTCCCTAAAAGAAGAAATGTTATCGATTGATATTATAAAATATTTAGAAAGTATATACTTAATTATTATTAATTTGTATATAATTAATTACTTACTTGTACATGAAATGCCCTAGCCAATTGATAACAACTTTCCGCCCGCATTGCTTCATTTTCTGTATTGTGAAACGCATGCAATGCCAAATGTTGTACTTTATTATAATCCTTTTTAAAGAAGAAGTGATTAGCTAAATGATTCAACACCATAGGATTTGTTGAATCAATCGTATAAGCTTTGGATAACATTTGTACACCAGCCCGGATACTATCAGGTTGTTGTTGATTTAATTTTAAAACAGAAAGTCCAACTAATGCTCCAACACACTGTCCATCTAATTGTAAAGCTCTTTCAAAGGCTAATCGCGCTTTTTCTTGATTATTTAATTTCATAAAACAATGTCCCATTCCTAATCTTACAGCAGCTGGACAATTAGGATTAGTTCTTAGAGCTTTCTTGTAAAACGCAAGTGCACCTCTATAGTCTTTTTTATTGAAAGCGATACAAGCTTTACCGAGTAAAGAGGGAATATTATTAGGCGATTGATTCAATACAAAATTAAACTGTGCATCTGCTTGTTCCATTTTATCCCCTTCCAAAAGGCAGAAATAAGCTCTACCAAGGAGGTGGTTCTTTAAACAAATAAAAAAAAAAAATTAAAAAACAAATTTACGAGTAGTTAATATTAATAATGCATAAAAAGTATACTGTACGTAAAAATAAATAAATTGAACATACCTGATCATACATGATTATTTTATCAGCAGTTGTATACAATAACGTTGCTTTAGTAAAAAGATCTCTTTTCTTGTCTTTATTTTTTTCTTTATTCGCTTCCTGTACATAGTACGCTGCCAACATGTCCAATGCTCGCATTTGATCTTTTTCAAAATCACGATAATCAATATTTGCATCAATTCGCGAAGATTCAAGTATTTTAATAAAGTCTTCGATCTTTTGTTGTTTGTAATATTCCAGCTATTTTAAAAAGAAAATAAGTAAATAACAAATAGTACATTCACACATGTTAAATTTTATTTAAATAGATTTAAAATGTTTTAACATAAAATACATACGGCCAAGTTGACCCATACGTGGAGCTGAGCATGCTCTTGACGTAAAATACCAAGAACTTCATCGCCGTCAGGTAATTGATCTAAACAAAGTTCTATCACCTATAAAAAAAATATATACATATATATTAATATATCATATAAAGTCTAAGTTCATATTAATACAAAACTTACATAATTTCAAGTTTAACGTATAATTTAATCGAGTCAAGAAGATACAATATACAAAGTTTTAAAAAAAATATTAAAGTAATAAAAAAAAAACAAGAAAGAGAAATATAAAGATAGAAATTGATAGTTTATTAAATATAGGTTAGTTGATTGAATTTTGGTAGGAGTCGATAATTAATATATTAACATTCATATTAACATATTTTATAAATAGTATAGAAACATAAAAAACACGAGTTGACCACGTGACAATTTTTTCAAATAAGTTTCCATTACTTCAATTGAAAAAATGTGACAAAATTTGGATACCTCAGGAAGTTATAATTTTGTTGGGACGAGTTAAACAAGTCATAGAAGAAAACACAAACGAAAATGAAAAATATAAAATATTATTACAACGTTTAAAAAAAGATCCAATGCTTACCTCATCTGTATCACGAAGTGGGATTTCTATGGAGCCAGACATTGTAAGACCCCCTTTTGTTTTCTTAATTTTAACAAATTAGTTCACTTTTCTAGCACAATTAATAAATATATAATTACTTTAAATTGAATTAAATGTGCTACTTAGTATTAGTCGTATTAATACTAAATAATCTATCGATAAGTTTCATTTCCACATTCCTTGTATTTTTTGGTTATACATATGTATACATATATATATATATGACACAGGCTTTATACGCGATATTTGGATGAAATCAAACTCATCAAACATAAAACCAACCAGTTACAACGAATGACCAAGATAAAGTTGGGTCATAGAGATTAGAAATACCTGAAACAAAATAACGGTATTGTAGTGACATCTATAATAAAGATAGCTTGTTTAAAAGAAAATATTTATTTTACAAGATTCTTTTCTTTTTAATAAACAATAAATAATAAACAAATAGAAAAATTATAATATGTCAAACAAAAAGAACTAAAGTAATAATAAATAAGTGAAAAAAAAATATGAAGTTTATATTACATCCAAATAATATTGTAAGAACCAATGAAAAGTTCTTAAAATCTAGCAGCGGTACCCGCTTTAGCGATAACTCGCGATTTCTAGGAACATAATCGATATCTCGCCAAGATCGATGTCTTATAATTAGAGGGAAGAACATGACGCATCGGAGGCGCGAATTAAGACAAAATCTGAATCATCTGAGAGTAACATGAAAGTAGATATCGTTGTTTCAAATTTTTCCATTGCATTAACCATTAAACCATACTTACAATTGCATATCAAAGTTCTATTATTACAATATCTTCCTAGACCTCAATATTGCAATAGTATACAGCGCACAATATAAAGTATTGTATTTCCCTTATTAAATTTTTAGAGACATTGTTCGTGATATTTGAAGAGTGTCTCATGTATTTAATTTGAATAATTAATTGTTTTTCAATACAACATAATTGCTATTTTTTTAATTAATGACACTTATGAGCTGATTACTCTTCTTAGTTTCAATATAATAATTGTTTTATATATTTAACTTGTTTAAAAGAAATATTTCAAATGTTAAATTGTCGTTTGAAAATATTCCCTAGATTCTGCTACCAAAATGGCTGACGTATCTAATTAATACGTATTTGTATTTATAATATAATAATTATAAATATATTTTTATTAGAGAGATTTTAGATTAATTCATTAAGTAATACGGGCAAATTTTATTGTCATGTAATGTATCGTTTAATAATAAAATAATAAAGTAGATCAATAAAATAATGCTTTTACAATAACGAAGATAATTGGTTGTTGAACCAAGATGCAGTAGTAATCTTACTAGATTTTATCTTTGATTACATATTTAATTTTAATCGTTATCTATTAAAAAAAAATATATATATATATATACAATCAATGTTATCCGTAACTAATTTACTTTGTTTTCTCTTGTTTGTCAAGTATTTCATTTTTTTTATCTATTATTTCCTAGGATGGAATTTATCGATTACGCATACATTTGTACTACGCATGAAATGTAATCGTTTCTTTTGAGATACGAATTATAAATATATATCAGTTTTATAAACATTTATCGAATTTTCGAATGTCTTCATTGAATATTAGGATTGTAATTTTTGCGTTTGATATCATTAATCCTATTATAAATATAAATTTTGAAATAAAATACACATATATAAGTTGATAAGAGAGTAAATTTTACCAAACTTATGAGAACTGTCAATGTTACGTTTCTACATGCGATTTTATATTTTAACAAAAATACAGAGGAATTTACAGAGTAGGCATATTGAAAAAAAAATATGGAAAGTGGTTCATTGACTAGGGTTCTACATGATTTTTTTACAACCATCGATGGAGAATTAAGTCTCTACAAAGGGGAACATTTTTTGGTATTTGTCTTTTTAAAAAATATGATTTAACTAACCTTTTCTTGATGCGTTTTAGAAAACAGATTATTTTAATGCATTATTTATATTTTCTTTGAATAGATATATAAGGTCATCGATAAGCATTGGTGTTATGGACAATCGTGTAACAAAACAGGAAACTTTCCTTTAAATTATTTACATAAAGTTGAGATACCGCAATTATTAGAAACTCAAAGTTTATTCGTATCAATAGCTGCTTTTGCTGGAGAACAATCAGGAGATTTGTCATTTGGAGCAGGTAATGTAATAGTTTAATGGTATATATATTTAAAAAATCAACAATATTAAACTATTGCTTAATATTAGATTATCATTTAATATTGCATACAAATAGAACATTTATGCTTTATTAGGGGAACTTATTGTTGGAGTACGTGAAGTTGGATCAGGATGGTATTTCGGACAAATAGATTCCAGAGTTGGAATATTTCCTACTACGCACACATGGCAGATAGATACAAATTTGATAAAGGTATGCTTCTATAATAATCTATTAAATACATCATTTATTTGCAATATTAAGTAAAATTTTATAAAAGATAAATAAGATGTGCAGATATTAGTTTTTATTTTTAGAAAACGGGTAGTAAAAAATCTATTCAAAGAAAAGGAAGAGTTAAAGCGACATTAAAGGCACAACTACAAGAGGAATTAGATTTAAATGAAGGCGAAATAGTTACGATCATTGAAGTTTTGGATGATGGTTGGTGTCGTGGAATTTCAGAGAATGGTAGAAATGGCATCTTTCCTGAAGGCTTTATTTCTTACATAAGTGATGACGAAGCCAGTGATCAAATGGATGCATGCTGCTCAAAAGAAGATGTTTCACTACCATTTGTATCCAATATTAATTCAGTGGAGAATAATGTTTCTAACAGGCATTCGATACAGTCGTATAACGAAGAAGATCCTGTACCAAGTTATTACGATTTATTTCCACAATTTTCTACATTCAAAGATAAAGTATCAGAGGATAACGATCGCGATGATAATGCTAATTTGTTCGACGTTAAATCATACGCCATAACGTTATATCCATTTAATGCTCAATTTCCAAATGAGTTAAATTTTGGAGTAGGTGAAGTAGTGCATCTTATAAAACACATTGACTCAGAATGGATGGAAGGTTCTATTGATGATAATAAAGGAATATTTCCAGTATCTTATGTTAACATTGTAGTAGATTGCCCAGAAATGAAACTTACAGAAGTAGTACTTAGTAAAGAAGATAATAGCACAGAATATACTTTATTAGAACCAGGTACAATGGCCAAAGTGGAATATACATTTAAAGCACAAATGGATGGGGATATAAGTGTTAAGGAAGGAGATATTGTAACAATTATCAGTATGGCTAATGAAGATTGGATTAATGTTAAAAATGTTAATGGCGAAATTGGTCTCTGTCCAAGAGGATATTTAAGTTCAAATCCTATATCAGAACCTGACATTGATCCCACATTGGATTTGTTAGAAGATTTTGTTATACTAAGAGACGACAAGCCTAATTCATTAACGGATAAAGAATATAAACCAAAAAGACTTTCAAAACCTCATAGACCAGCACCACCAGTACCAGCTCCTGGTCGTATGCCATTGCAAAACAGTAATAAAGATGCAGCTAGTGATAATAGATCTGAAACTGAAAATTCAGTAGCCATTTCCGAGAAAAGAGCAGATCAAAGACAAAACGTTATAACAGAATTAGTTCTTACAGAGAAAGAGTATGTTCGCGATCTGAGATTAACTTATGATACTTTTAATCTATCTAATCCTCATTTTCTTAAATCAAAAGGTATAGACGTTGATGTTTTATTTGGAAATATATTAGAAATTATCCAAATTGCTGAAGAATTACTATACGAAATATTAAGAGCTATGAAAGGATGCGATGAACAATTACAGCAAGTTGGTACGTGCTTTATAAATATGGCTGATAAATTACGGGTCGTATATGTGAAGTATTGTGGAAACCATGAAGCAGCACTTGCTTTATTAAAAAAGGTTAATAAGCAAATAATTTATCTTACAATTATTTTTTATTATATACCATATGAATTATATATCTTTCTATGTATTAATTATAGTTATATATTGTTTTTTAGTATGAAAATAATGATGAAATTATGACTGTATTTAACAAGGGTACTGAGACATTACGTTATCAAATAGCTTGCTTCGACATGAGTTCCATTCTTATAAAACCCGTGCAAAGAATTTTGAAATATCCTCTTATTTTGTTCGAATTAATAAAAGTAAGCTTGAATATAAAATTATTTAAATATTATTATATAATTTCATTTCTAAATTAATATAAAATATTTTTAGTGTACTGAGGATGACCATCCAGATAAAGAATCTGTGAAAGAAGCATGGAAGGTTATGACCGACGTGGCTTGTTATATTAATGAGTATAAACGTCGAAAAGATTTGGTGTCTAAGTATTTAGATAATGATAATACATTAATTAGAAAAATGGCTAAATTAAATATGCATTCTGTTGCAAAAATGTCTATGCGTTTAAGTACAAAACTATCTGCTAGTTTAGGTTTGACAAATATCGCAGTGGATCCAGTATTTGAAGAACTCGAAAGACAATTCAGATCTATAGAAAAATGTATATGGCAATTTGCCAAAGACGTTGAAATGTGTATTATTTATTTAAGTGATGAAGCCAGTTCTGGTGAACTTATGTCAGATTATTTAAATCAATATTATCAGGGAACACCAAATCTTGAAATTAAACGAATTAGAGACACTCGTTCGTTAATTTGCTCACAATTTATGCAAGATTTAAAATCAACATTGGAAATACGTGTTAATGTGCCATTGAATTTATTGACAACCTTCTTGGAAGGCCCTGCAGTATTAATTACAAAGAGGCATGATAAATTACTAGATTATGATGCTGCCATATCGAAAAGCGAAAAGTATAAGGAGTCAAAAATTGTAATTATATTTTATTATCTCTTATTATTGAATTAAACAATTTTTCTAATAATGAATCATTGATATCGATTAGGTACAGGACGAATTAGTAACAGCAAGGAGTAATTTCGAGGCCTTAAATCAACAGTTATTGGAGGAATTACCGATATTAATCGACGCGGCTGTAAACGTCTTAGTTAAATGCATCAACGCTTTTGCGAATGCTCGAAAACTTTTAACCGGAAAAATTACAAAAAGATATTTAACACTTTGCGAGGTACGTTTGTTGATTGTTGTATTTTTCTGTTATTTTTAATTTAATATTAAAAATAAAAGATAAAATATTATTTATCTTCCCATATAGACTACAACCCAAGTCTCGTTAAAAGATATTCTAGAATCTTTCCTAGTAAATCATAATTTACTTTGGAATCAAATTGCGCGTTTCTCGTTCGGCGGTACGAATTCAAGAACAGAAGAGGAGAAAGGAGAAATGTATTCGCAAAGTGAAAAAGAACGGATTTTTTTAAGAAAAAAATATCCGAGAGATAAGTTATACATTGTAACGGAAAACGTAATGAAAACTACATCTCTCGATTTGGGTGCTGCAAGAGGATCTTTGGTAGCTGTTATCAAAAATCAAGATCCTATGGGTGACACTACGAGATGGCTTATCGATAACGGCGCTGACAAGGGTTTTTTACCTGCTCATAAACTCCAATCTTTACAACTACAACAACCGACGAAACAAACTAGCCTTGAATCTAATACCTATAGCAATACCGATTCTATGCCAGATTTAATATCGATGGCCTCACCTGAAAAAGAAATAAAATCTTCTTCCGAATCTAACTCGCAGTCGTTATTATATCTGAATATCGATGAAGAATTAAATACAAATCAGATTTATAGTAACATTGAAGAAATTTCAAAAACGCAACAGTATCAGAATCTTACTTATGAAGTAAGTTATATTAAACATTAATTTTCAGTGTGTGTATATATATATATTATAAGTAATAATAGTAAGAAAATTTATTGAAATATTTTATATTTCAGTTTTATTATACTATGTATGATTTCGCCGGCGGTATACCTGGTACATTGCCAGTGAAAAAAGGTAAAGCTCTTAGACTTGTTAGGCCTCATGATGAAAAAGGAAACGACGAATGGTGGCTCGTTGAAGATCGTCATGGTCAGACCGGTTACGTTCCTAAAAATTATTTGACCCCGGCAGCACAGACGAAAACATAATTTGGACGATACGGAGAATTAATTTATTTCTTAATCGTATTAACTAAATTTTTCGTGCCTTAATTTATACAATTATTTGCTTATATATTTATAGAAATATTTTTACAAGTATTGCGATTTAAATCAAGTCATTGAAATAATTACAGAACTTGTTCATTTGAACAGTTAGAAAAGAAGTGAAAAAAAACTAAACAACAAAACTCATTCAACTCAAATTAGCGATTCTCACGATATATGCTTATCTTCGTTATCTAGTATAATATATCAATCGATGTATTTATTTAGAAAAACAAAAGAAAAAAAAGTGTATTTTTTCGACGTTGATAAATGTATTTTTCTGTGATATATGGTAATATTGTATATCATATTATTATATATAGCACGTTAATTCTCTTAAAAACCAATTTTAAAATCTCGTAATGTATTTTTCTTTTTGTTGTTTCTATTTCAATTTTAAATCGTCTATTTACTTTATGTGTATATTTCGTTGTACATTGAAAATGTAAAATTGTTTATTATATAAGAATATATATAAAAGAGTTCTGTTAAATGGGATATTTGTGCACAATATATAAAATATTGTTTAAACATCGTAGTTTCATTTGATCTTATAATAATATCTTTCATTTTGCATGTTAGTCGGATAAAGTAGCGATCTAATAATACGATGATTTTACAAAACTGTTAAAAAAAATAGTTATATTAAATAGATTATACATTATTTCTAATGATACTTTAATATTTTATCTTACAGAAACTAATTTTCAAAATATAGGTATCGTTAAGTATTAAAACATATGAGTTGATTTGTGAATATTTGTTAAGACAGTCCATTAAGAATTAATATGAAAAAAATGATTGTTTTGAAAAATGAATTTCGGTTCATAAAAGTTTGGTGCTACTTGGAAATTGTATCAGATATCACATTATATTTTTATAGTTTTAATATGTGAATTAGAAATATTTTTGTTGGGGATCCAAGAAAATTATTTTATAATAAATTTATATTTACCTTTAGAGTTCATTAGTTAATAAGGATCACTGGACGTAGTATAGTTAGAAGATATACGAAGGTGGATTAAAATATATTGAAGCTTAACAAAAGAAAAAGTTTTATTTTTGTTTTATATAAAAGTGAGTTCGACCAAAACATAATTGTTTCTATGTTAGACTCAAAATTTTTCAACCCACTCACGTATGCGAAGAACATTTAATAAGAGTAATAATATAATAAGATGATTTTTTAATAAAAACATATTATATTTTACTATATATTATCGTCATGTAATATAATACATTTATACTGTCACGATTATAACAGTCGGTACAATGACGTTTCGTGTACCTACGGGTACCTAATGCTTATTATCTAAAGACTACGATATAAAATAAGGTATATAAATACATATACGCATGCATACATATAAATATTATAAATACATATGCATATATATATTTATATACATACATACATATATACCGTTTTAATAAACGAAACAGTCTTTTCGGATAGAGCAAATTTTAACTGCGATGTATTTCGTTATTAATTAAATAACAATTTGCGGTCATCGTTATTAAAGTAAGTACAGTTATTAGTTTAGTATATAACGTGTCCTTTCGACAAAACTTATACCTAAATTTATAATACCTATATTCTAGGACGCAAAAAATACTGATCTATGGATAAACCATGAACTCACACATTGAATGTCGCTACATTTGTGAGTGTCGAAATTGACGATGAAAATGAGTTTAAACTAATTTGTAACGCTTCGTATCCGATCATTCATCCTTTCTTATTATCTAACACTCGATTTTTGTCGATTTATCACTTTTTGTTGTTGTTTAAATTGTTTCTTCTACCTTTCTCGCGTATCTTTGTCTAACGTTATTATAAATATATTATCGTTATAGTTATAAATTTTACATTATGCTTATTTTTCTTTCTTTTTTTTTTTTTTTTATGCATTATTTTTCGAACATTCTCGTCTCTATTATCGTTTTTCATTAATGAAATATCGTATGTATAAAGATCGAGTCAAAAGTTTTAAATTAATTTTTAATAACAATTACTCTAGTTCGAAACTTCTTAAGATAATTTATCTTCCAGATCGTAAAACTACAAGCATAGCTTTTAAATATTATTAAGCTAAAACTACAAATTGAAAAAGTTTCGAAAGAGAGTTCCTTATTTATTTTTTAAATTATTTAAGAACTTTTGACCTTACTCTGTATATACGTGTATATGTGTTTAAAACGTAAATCATTCAAATGAAATTATTAGATTCAACATACATGATCGTCCAAATAATTTTGTGTTATCTCTTGAAAATCAAAATAAAAAGCGCAAGAGCTGTCGATATTTTTTTGGTATTTTTCGTCATATTTTTGATATTTGAATTCGTTCGAGATATTCTCAACAAAACGAAAGTGATAAATTATTTTGTCGTCAACGATTTTGTTTAAAGGAAAATAATGTTTGATAAAAAATAAATTGTAAGTATACGAGACTATGAGAATTTGTTGGAAGTTGCACACATACATCCACTCACGCACAAACACAAATATAGTTCATTCTTTATCATTCATACAAACTCGGAATAAAATCATCCAACATTGGAGTCACACATACATATCACATACATTCAAAGAAATTGTATCTAGAAACTCTCTGAAGGTCTGTAAAAATAAATTCTAATCGAATCCTATGAGAAGGAATCATATAAATAATTAAATCGAATTGTTTCTCCAATCATTTTTCCCTTATCTTTCAATTAGACAATCTTTGAGTGAGATCACAGAAAGAGAGTCAGACAGAGACAAATACACGCAATAGTATCTTAAATTCAAAATAATCTTCAAGTTCATTTAGTGTTTTCATCTATGAAATTATGGGAGAGTTTCTTGGATACGTTAATTGAGCCACTCGTTTATCCAAATCGGATTAATTCCACAAAAGAAAAGAGTAAAGAAAAATAAATACAAATTATATACATCGTTTATCATTTTTGTGTCAAAATAATTATTACGTTATTTTAAATAATATATTAAAATATATATTATTGTAGTATTAAAGTCTAATTTGCTTTGATATTGAAATTAAAAATAATGTCACAAACAATTGTATTGGACAAACGTCGAACGTATCTCAAAAGTATTTTAATCAAATAATAAAAGTGGAGTTAATCGTATTGACTTCTGAATGGCTTAAGATTGAAAATAAGACAGAGAGACAGAATACACAGATAGATATTTGAAATAGTGTTTCTCTCTCTCTCTCTCTCTCTCTCTCTCTCTCTCTCTCTCCCTCTCTCTCTCCCTCTCTCTCTCTCTCTCTCTATCTCTCTTAGTCTATCTTTTAATCAGATGGATAGAAACGTAGAATCGCACGACCTTGAATCATGGAATGGCAGAGTTTGTGAACAACATCGAGTGCTTCCTCAGCAGGGTATACTGTGTGTGGTGGTGGTTCAATTTCGTTCGTTGCAACCAATTGAACCAATTCACGAAGTTGTTCTAAAGTACCTGGCTCCACTGATTTAATACTCTGTTGTTTTTCTTCGGCACGCCTGCTAAACTTTGGTAAAAGACGATCAGCAACTTCCTTTATCACGAATACGACTCCACCTTTGCTCAAACATTGGATACTACGATGAAGACTACGAGATGTTGTTCCAAAGTCAATCACTACGTCAACTTGACCTTGACATGCATCCATCGTCCTTTCGATCAGTTGTTTCTCGTACAAATCCTCGTTCCATTGTACAACGTTTACTCTGTAAGCAATGTGCAAACTATTTGTGAATAAATCGAATGAACTATGAATCTATTGATTACCGAACTCGGAATGTTTTATTATCTTTTTTATATTTTTTCAAATTTTTATATCTAAATCGTGAACATTGTTAATTTGATATCATAACATTATTAAATATTATAACGATAATAATAATAAAATACATATTTGGATTTATATAATTATCAAATGCGATTGTTATTACTTAAATAATCAAAGGTATACGTGTATGCATGTGAATACGTCTCTTTAACGAATCGTAAAAAAATACAATTAACAGGTGTTTACGATCATAATATAACGATTCCCATTTGAAAATTGATATACAATCGCGCTTGTTTATACTACGAACGAATCTTATCTCTCATGCTAAAGTTATATGCGAAAAAGAAATAAAGATACGTGCTGCTGTCAAAGGGGAAAACAGATAGATAGATTAACTTTTTAGAATTTTTATAAAGATAATTAAGGAATCGAACGACGCGATTGACAAATTGTAATTCAAACATTGATATTTTTAATCGAACGAAATAATTACTTTTCTTTTTTATCAAACAAAAACATCGCGATCGAAATATAATAACATTTATATGAAATTCTTCTTATTTTTTTTTTTTTTGCTTTTAAAAATGACGAGCAACATTGACACACACAGATCACAAGTAGAGGATTAAATAAAATAAAATAAAATAAAATAAAATAAAATAAAATAAAATAAAATAAAATAAAGGAAAGGAAAAAAAGCTAAAGAAAATAAAAGTTTCGATGAGACTTACCGTTGAAATTCCTTTGCCATGATAAGACCGTCATCTTTAAGAGTAGCAATAGTGATAGTTACTCTATCCTTCATATTACTGAAGTGATATGCCGCAATTCTCAATGCCCAAAGTGCTAATCCACCAGTTCCAACAATCAGAATCTTACAAACGGTTTTCTCGTCTCTTTCTTTTAAAAGATTTTGTACATGTTCATGGGCAGCGAATACGGTGTTCATGGCAAGTAATGCACCAGCTGGTAACATAGCAGCTACGCTCAATGGCATATTATCGGGTATCTTAATGAGATACTTAAGATCATGTACAACCAAATATTCGACGTATCCGTTAGGTATTCCTTCGTAAGGATAAAGTATAACGCGATCACCCAATGCATATTCGCAATCCTCGCTGACGTCAGAACCAAGTGATTCAATGACACCGGCTACTTCGAATCCAGGAAATAATGCAGCATCTCTTACACCATGGTGAGGAATGTTAGCTGGAAAATCACCTTCTAAAGATGCTTCGGTAGCCAAACTACTGCTACTCGAAACAGATGTTAGAGACGATAGACTTGGTGAACGTTTTGGATGATAACATGCTCCGGCACATACTACGCGGATCCTGGCACCTTGTGCAGGTACTTCTGGAACCGGTACGTCGAAACTGAATACACAATCGCGTCCTATTATGCTCGGACTTTCGATCGATACTTGTCTACACAGCTTATTCATTTTTTCTTCTCTGCAAAAAAAGAGAACAAAAAATATAAACTCAATAAAATTTATAATAATTTCAAACGTTTTAATACCGATATGTAAATCTTGTTCTCTCTCTCTTTCTTTGTTTTTATTAGCTTAATCATCTAAATATAAATATCCCCGTTATGTAATCGTGTATAGATTTTTAAACAGTTAGAAATTAGAAAGCGAAACAAACTTTCTAGATCCGTTTTATTTTACTTATAGAATCGATTTATTTCTTTCTTTTCAAATAATCCAAATGAAATGTTTCTCACGCGATAGACTTGATAAATCATCGTGGTATATTGCACCGTGATTCATATTATTTACACATCATATACGTATATAAATAGAATCAAATAAAAGATTTCGAATTTGCAGAAGATTTGTATTTTGCACTTGGTTTATCGAAATTAAATTTCAAATTTATTGAATAAAATCTAAATAAATTGACAACTATATAAAACAATATACTACAAAAACGAAATGATAAAACATTACAAATAATAATAATAATAATAATAACAATAAACAACGCGTACCCATTAAAGGCCTCATGTGCAACCGAAGGCACTTGCTCCAACTCCACAGGCATCTTTAAGTCGTTGTTAATGCAATTTTAGAAAATTATCAAAAAAAAAAACAAAACAAAACAAAACAATAATTGCAATTCTCAATAACAACTCCTTCCAATTATCTCTATCGATAATACAATAACAAAAGAATTCAATGATCCTATCTTAATGAACTTTGTTAATGAGATTTCAAGATATAAGTATATTGTTAAAAGATAATAAAGAGAAAAATAACAAAGAGAATCTTTAAATCTGCTTTTGCACGTGTTAATCGTTTGAACGTGTAAACGGACTAACTCGAAGCGTCGTGAAGCGTTAGTCTTTATAGCGTGGTGGTAGAGTGGGGGGTTAGAGGGAGGTAGAATAGAAAAGAGTGGGGAGAGAGAATATCGTAAATACAAGGGTCCATAGGGAATGTATGTGTGTGTGTATATGTATGTATGTATGTATGTGTGTACGGGGCAAACTACGACACACTGGTAGGCGTGAGAGAACACTCACGAAACGCATGCACGTTTGTTTTTCCATGCGTGTCTTTCTCCCACTTATATCAACCTCTTCTTTCTCTCTCTCTCTTTTTCTTACTCCAACTCGTCTTCGTCTTTTCGTCGTTGTTTTTGTCTTTTACAATGTCGATCTTTAATGAGAATTAAAGAGAGAGAGAGAGAGAGAGAGAGAGAGAGAGAGAGAGAGAGAGAGAGAGAGATACGTGTAATTGTGCAAATGGCATTTAAATGGAAAAGAGATAAATGTATTTACTTATAGTATTATATATGTACTACTTTAATTATTATGGTGTACGTATTGTGCATTTATTTTTCTCTCTCTTTATTATTGTCTTGTTTTTTTATATTTTCCATTTAATTCTGGTTTTGCTACTTATACAGAATCACAAGTTTCAAGTGCAGTTGGTATTCCCTCTATGATGTCACCGATCAATACATACGAATGCCCATATACGTGCCAGTTATTATATGACAAGTTGTATTATTCTAATTGTAAGCTCAAAATAATAAAGTTGACAAAAAAATCGATCTTACGATTTATTTCGTAATAACGGTTTTTATTGTCATATAAATTTATTTCTCTTTCTCGTTCTTTTTTGTTATTTTTCTTGGTTTTTTTTTTTTTTCTTACATCGATTTATTTGTCTCTCGTTAATATATTTCTCGATGGTGTTTGAATTAGGTCAATTTTTCGTACGAACGATGCGTAGCAATAAATCGAATTGTTTTGTTCGATCGATTGGAAGAATTTAAAATCAATCATAATTGTGTTATACGGGGACGTCGTAATTCGGTGAAAAAAAAAAAAAAACAAAAGTTATTTATTTAAACAAAACACAAACATGCAAATAATACTTCATTTTAACTCGTACTGTTATCGTGTTTATCGCGCAGAAGAGATCAAACAAATCATCCGTGACCTTCCTTAGAATTACAAACGATTACAATTGATACGTTTTTAAACGAATTGAGAATTATCGTTATTTTTTTAATTAAAGAAAATAAGAAAAGAAATATATTGAAGTATCTCATCAGGGGATTCTTTTTATATTTATTTATTATTATATATTATTTTTATTTATAAATTAATTGTTGTCTCTCGGTCAATAAACAGTTGTTGCTTTTTTCTTCTTTCTTCCTGTATGTTTCATTCTTCCGTTAACCTGACACACTTATGGCTTTAAATGATATTACGTAATCCCGATTGTGAGTTAAATTTAAATGACATATTTTTCTTCGCTTTATAAACATCCGTTTTCGTAGTTTACGAGACTATAGAAAATGATTTGCTTTTTAAATTGATTTGTTTTGCATTGCTTCGATTTCCTCCTTCCTAAAAAGAAATGAAAGTAAAATAGAAATGGAAAATGTATAATATATACCGATGAATCAGATCGAACTATAGTAATTGTAAGAAAATAGGAGGAGAAAAGAATAAATAAAAAAATCGACTATTCCTAGGCAGACAATGAAGATATTTTAATTTCAAATTGTTTCGACTATGTATAATCGATACGTTTCTTTCTATACAATTATTATTTATACATACAAAAATGCGATCATTGTTATTCGAATTCAATGAGTATTTTAAAATATACCAATTTCAATAAATTTTCATCAAAATCGTTAATCGGTATGAATTATATGTTTGTATTATTTAGATTGATTAAGACAAATTTTATTATTAAAAAAAACATGATCGTTTTTACGATGACTTTCTTTTTAATGATAACAACAACAATAATATATGTCAAAATGATCAATCATTCATCGCAAACACGTAGTAAACATGATAAAACAATAGTCTATCTTTAGGGTGGTACAATTTTATAGCAATCTAACTTGTTTGTGAATACGATAGTGTTTAACTCTATTAATGTTACTATTTTAATATCAATCTATCTTTATCTATTTACAAAGTCATATATTTCCATCGTCAACTATGAAAATTATCAATAATACCTTTTTTGATCTATCGTTTGTTTTGAATGCACAAAGCCAATTTTTCTTTTTATGTACGACACAATTATGTATTAATTTATTTGAAATTTACAAGAGATAAAAAACAAGATAAATATGTTCTCTATCGAAAACATTTTTACATCAATTAACTATATAAACAAACAATAATAATATATATATAATACGAAAAAAATATATATTTATTATATTAAAATAAAATAATAAATATATTATAATATAATAATATAAACACAATTAAAAAAAAAAATAATATTTATATAAATATATCAGTATACTGTGTTATTATTTCAGAGTTTTTTTTTTTAAATATCTAATATTATTATTACAGTTGTTATATTAATATATGTATAATTATATTAATTGTAAAGTCCCAATGTTTTCAGGAATATTTTAAAATCCAATTAATCATTTTCGAAATGTCTTTATCTTGTAATATTTAAATTTGATGAAAGAAATTAGCTTAAAAAAAAAAAGAAACGATAAATCAGCATCGTTTAACATTTGGTCTTCATTTTATTGTTAAATTTATATAAATACCTATGTGCAAACATATCAATTTCAACGTTTATATAATGAATTTTAGAAGATGAAATTTTTGGAGAGTGTTATTATGAATCAGTATCTAAAGAAAAATAGTGGATACTAGAGAATTGATCATGTCTTGGACACGCGCCATCCATTAACAATCTCGCATCGAGTTCTTTTGCAACCTTCGGAACTATCTAAAAGAAAAAAAGCTCAACCTATTACGGGTATGCAAGAAAATATCACGTTTTAACGTATACACATCGTGTTGTGTTGATTGTGTCCTTGTTACCTGCATTAAAGTAGAAAAAAAAAGGAAAGGAAAGAAAAAATTGCGGAAAAAGACGGAAAGAGAAATAGAAAGAGACTGAAATAGGTTGTTCTTAATCAGCCACACACGTTCACCAGTATCTCAAAGTAATAAGTTTCAATGATCAACAGTCCGAATACTAACTATGAAAACAATGTTAAACATTACGTAAGTTAACTATAGTGAGCTTGTAGGATGCGTCTCTGTGATTACCATTTGAACGTCGTTTAACCTCGTTACAAACTGAATATAACAGGTTCGTTGTTAAAGTTCTTTGTTGTTCAGTTATATTATGCTCTTCTTCTTAAAACGTGTTGTGATTAACACGTAAAAAAAGTTTAACATTCTAAAGAAAGAGAAAGAGAGAAAGATTAAAAAAGATCGAGATTATCTTTTATCGTTTTCTTATAATCTTTAATAATATCGTTCTGATTTGATAAGGACGATAGTTAAAAAATTATGTCAGCAATGAAAATAGTCTTCGAGTATTTATCGAGGATCGATGGGTAGATCTTTATTTGTTTAAAGTATTTACTTTATGCAAGGACGTTCATCCATCGATAATACGTGTATTTTTAAATACATACTGTTTGTTTTGTTTATTTTCCATTTTTGTTATTATTGTTATTATAATATTATCGGTACTGTTATTATTCCAAAGTTTTTCAAATTTCTAATATTGTTATTACAGTTGTTATTATATTTGTATTTTTTTTACGTGTAACTTTTCCCATTTTTTAATTTCAAATTTTATTATTATTATTATTGTAGAATTGTTGTAAGTTTTCTTAAAAAATATATATATTTTTTATTGTTAGTAAAATTTGCATTAATATATTTTTCTAATATTTATGTTTTCGAGTTGTTCGTATAGCACCACGCAAACAAACAGATTTTATATTTAACATTTGAAAGTCATGGGGATTTAATTAACATAAGTAAATATGTATGTTTATACGTAGTCTGATATGTCAGATAGAAAATTCGTTAGAATTAGAAGAGCACGAACATTTTGTGAATAATAGGCGTTTACTTCGAACGATGGTTGAATCATGCTAATAAATACTGGCCCTCTTTCTCTCTCTCTCTTTCTTTCTTTTACATTTATTTCCTCAAGCTATGATAGATGAACATGTTTTTTTCCGATTCCTCGACTGAATCATCAATTTTTGAAAGAGGATAATATAATAAGTCATGCACTAGATGCGTGAAACTCTTCGATTTGGCTCGTTATTAATACTTACACGTAGCAATGTAAGAGTTTTATTTCTAAATAGATAACAAATGAAATTTGAATTATCTTCTAATCAATATCTTTAAAAATATTATTTTAATGATTATTTTAATGTTTATTTTAACGATTTATTTATCGTCATTATTTTTAATTTGAACAATTTTCAACTGGCTTCTATTCTAATACTTTGAAAGATATGAGATATCCAAACAAATAATGAATTCGTTAGAAATCATTTTCCAATGGCAACATGTATACACGTTTTTCTCGTCTTTTTAATTACCTGACATGAGTCTTCTTCAACTTAAATAAATTGAATATTAATGTTCTTAGAAGAAATATTATACATAAGCATACACATGAAAGATCAATTTAGTAATTATTATAAAACATGGTGAAGAAATATGCCCGTGTTATTACAGTAAATTGCAAATACATTCGCAACGTGGGAATACTTAGATAACGTGTATGTTCACAAAGAATGACATACGTATGATTACGTGCAAGTGTGCGTATGTAATCTTTTTTACACGCAGGATGGAGATATTGTTAAAATTTATTGACGTTTACAAATGCTCTTGCAAAATGGTTACTTTTATATTATCTCACGTTTCTGTTTTATTTAGATATGTCATGAAACGATCGTTTTGGAAAAAGATCATTAAAAAGAACAAAACAATTAATGACGTACATAGAAAATGAATACGTTCGTATCGATCGATTTATTTAAATATTTTTTGGATGCGTTTGTTCGTAAGTT